TATGCATAATTCCTTCAAAAACTATATTCCTGAAAAATCACTGGAATGCTAAAATCACAGACACGTATCCTATATTTATTTTTGTATTTTATCACTTTATTTAGCCGTCCATAATTTTGCACACTCAATCCCGCACGCAATATGCTTAACGGTTGGAGAGGTTGTACAGATAACTGCGGAATGTGCAGATTGGTATTACGGCCGCAGCAAGTTTAAGGGTACATGTGGAATTTTTCCAAAATCCTACATACATATCCTACAGAAATCAACGAATACGGATAACTTAGTACAAGAGATCACTAATGTCTTAAGAGAATGGGGACATTATTGGAAACATTTATATGTGGTATGTATAGAATACTTCTTGTCGTAAACAATTTGCTTATTTCTGGAATCGACAAATAAAAAGAGCATACATAACTATACTATACAGAGCAGACATAACTTGATAATTCTTGATGTATGTTTAGACACATTCCGAACACTTCAGAACAATGCAGCAGCAAATTCTGGATGCAATTGGATACAGAAGCAAGATTTTGAGTGGGACTTTAACAGTAGACGAGTTAAAGGATATGAAGAGATTGGCAACAGCAAAGATAGACACTGGAAATCAGCTGTTAGGTTTGGATATGGTAGTTCGAGACGAGCATGGAAATATTTTGAATCCCATAGAGACAAGCACTATCCAATTGTATTACCATCACGAGACTGCTGCGGAGAGAATAAGAAAAGCGTGCAATGATACCAAGAAAAAATCCTATAAGCCACAAGTACCTGTATATTCACATATCTTCTTTGTCAGTGTGAGAAATTTTGTATGTAAAATGGCAGAGGATGTAGAGCTACTGTTGACTTTATATGATGGCAGAGAGATGAAAGCTATCACGGAGAATTATGTGGTATCGTGGAGTAAAGAGGGACTTGCAAGGGACATTGATCAGTTGCACAATCTTAGAGTATTGTTCACAGATCTTGGTTCCAGAGATTTAACAAGAGACAAAGTTTATTTAGCCTGTTACGTAATTAGAATAGGCGGTATGGAAGCCAAAGAACCAGATCATCGTCGCTCAAGTGTTACACAAGCCAATCAAACAAAAATCAAGAGCGCAGAAACTATGAGAAGACCGTTTGGTGTAGCCGCGATGGATATTACCTTATTCATTACTGGCAAGCTTGAGGGTGATGTTGAGCAACATCATTTTATACCTTTTGTACAGTAAGTATATACTTCAGTTTTAATGAGATTAATATTTTGGTTTTAATAAGATCAGAATACGTTGGTTTTCATAAGATTAAATAATATGGCATTCGTGATTAAAGTGTCAAAGGCATTATGATGGTTTTTTACAAAATCGAGGTAGAATTTTTTTTGTTGGTTTTCTGCTTTTGTTTCAGATGTTGTGAGAAAGATAGCCTTGATGGTACGTTACGTAGAATTATTGCACAAAAAGAAGCAAATATTCAAAAACATGTCAATGGTAATATTGCCAATGTCACAGGTGGACAAGGATTATGGACTAGCTTAAAATTGTTAAGGGGTGATCCGAAACAGGTAAGTTCTAAAATAAAATTATTCTGTGAAATTACTTTGATTATGCTATAAAAGGAAAATTATATTTTGCCATTTTTAATACTTGAAAGGTACGTGATGAAAACCCACATTTGGTACTGGGTAATGTTGCAATTGCACGTAAAATGGGATTCCCAGAAGTTATTTTGCCGGGTGACGTACGCAATGATCTGTATCTAACATTAATTAGCGGTGAATTCAGCAAAGGCTCCAAATCTACAGACAAAAATGTAGAAGTAATGGTTAGTGCGAACATAAATTTAAAAAAATTGTATTCTGTACACACTTATACATATATATGACTATTTGCAAATTTTAACAGGTTAAAGTATGTAATGAACACGGTATTGCAATTCCCGGAGTTATGACATTAGGTGGCGGCGTGTCTCCAATTGACGAGTATCGTAGCGTTATTTATTATCACGAAGACAAACCTAGATGGTGCGAAACGTTTAAGATTGCCATACCTATAGAAGAATTTAAGCAGGCCCACTTAAAGTTTACGTTTAAGCATCGTAGTTCTAACGAGGCGAAAGATAAGTCTGAAAAGCCATTTGCTTTAAGTTATGTTCGATTAATGCAACGCAATGGAACGACTCTACAAGACATACAACATGAATTGTTGGTTTATAAATTAGAACAGAAGAAGTACGAAGAGAGCGATATATCTTACTTTAAATTGCCATCAACACGTGGAGAATTGGTATACTTATTTATTTGATAAAGAGATAAAAAAATTAATATTCCTAAATGTTGTGTATTTTATTTTATTTTTTTCTTTATTTTTGTTTGTATGTTTTAGGCTGAATTAAATATGGAAAAAAAGCCAAGTTTAGGATCTTTAACATTAACCAGTAAGGATAGCTTTTTAATAGCAACTAATATTTGCTCAACTAAATTGACTCAAAATGTAGACCTATTAGGTTTACTCAATTGGGCGTCACACAATACGGACTTAAAAGAATCTTTAGCTGCTTTAATGAAAGTTGATGGGGAGGAAATAGTGAAGTTTTTGCAGGTAACAATAAACCCCTAATTTATCGAAAATGAAAATTATGTGTACATAATAAAAAATAATTTTTTTATAAAATATAATTATATTCTGTTTTTAGGATGTTTTGGATGCTTTATTTAACATTTTGATGAGTAATTCAGACAGTGATGTTTACGATGACATGGTCTTTGAGTGCCTTTTATATATTATCGGACTCGTGTCCGATAGAAAGTATCAGCACTTTCAACCAGTATTAGATTTATATATTTCTGAAAGTTTTTCTGCAACTCTCGCATATAAGAAATTAATTGCGGTATTGCGTAAACGTATAGACAGCGTCAGCAATGGCGATGGTCAGGAACGAGATTTATTGCTTAAGACAATGAAAAGTTTGCAATACTGCATGAGGTTTATTGTCGAATCTCGTCTTTTATTTACTGAGTACGTTTTATTTATTATTACATATATTATAATTTTTTTATATATTAAGTAATCGTAAATAAAATGTTTTATAAAATTATCTAAAATAGCTGTGAGTAGGTACTCCAAAAAAGAATTACTTTCAATTAATATTTGTAATTTATTTTAAAAGGTTAAATCAGGATGAAGAAGAATTCTCACAAACTTTAACTGATCTCTTACGATCTATCGTTAATCTCATGAGTCACGAAACAGATAGTACTCTGTTGGTTCAAGGAGCCTGTCTCAAGTACCTACCAACAACGATACCTCATTTATTAAGAGTTTATAGCGGCAAGCAACTGAGCACGATTTTAACAGATTTACTTGTGACTTTACCAACCGGTAGATTAACCAAACAAAAAATGATGACAGTAAACGACATTGTACACAGTCCGCTTTTTTTAAATGCAGACTGTAGAGCGATTTTATTACCAAGAATTACTATACTTGTCAGAGATTTACTGGAATCCAAAGAGGAGGTAAGATGTTATAAAGTATGCTATTTCCTAATGCTATTTCTTAACTTACAGTTTAAGCGGTATGAAATGTTCACATTATTTTTCTATTTCACAAAAAATAATATCAGTTTATATACTTATATATTTTCGCAATACATGATGCGTCCTAACTACATAAATTTACATGTAACTGGATTTGTTGAAACTCACGAATTTTCACTTACATTTAATATCATTCAGTGTGACGTGCGATAAATGTCATTGTTCGTGCTTTCCGTGCAGCCTGCGATCCCTCCGCCACGCATCTTTCTGACTTTTCTCTCTCAATCTTCTCTTTTTACAGAGGATGTCTCTTCATTTTTATTTTTTAATTTGTGATTTTTGTGCTTTAATTAAATTCTTTGTTAAACTCTAGCTAATTTTTTTAATTTTACATTTAAAAAAGAAATACAATAGTTACAAAAAAAACTATAATTTCAGAAAATTTAATAAAAATAATGACAATTATTAAGTTGCATTAGCTGAAAATATAACATATTGAAAGACATCCTTTACATTTACTTTTGATAAAGCATGAAAAGGGAAATGTATACGACTTGAAAAAGATTGAAACTTGGAATGTAGCATGTGTTTGTTTAGTAATGATTGTATAATGTTTATTCTGCATTGTGCGATTTTTCCGTAAGATTATTTTTATAAAGTTTATATATGACATAGAAAATTTAAAATTATTAGATAAAAGTCTATCTAATCTACTTCTTTTCTGATGTACTACGGATACTTTTCTAGTATTGATATTTCATGCTGTATTTCATGATATTGTGTCCTTTCTACAGTTCTATATTTACATTGTGGTGTCGGAAAATTTTCAATAATGTAGTGTATACATCCTTAGCAAAAATGGTATTGTTTTTTTTTTTCAACTAACAAGGGTTGTTTCATTTTTTTTGTACGGTTTGGTTTTGGTTAATGGCGTTTAAAGGGGCTATCGAGTACGCCTGGAAAGAGCGTGGCGAAGGTAGCCAGGTTGCTCGGCGAAAATCGGCATCGGCTCAACCAACATCGCGGCTACTCCGAAGAGGTAATTTTTATCATAAATGCAGGAAGTCTTCTATGTGGATAAATAATGTGTTTTTCATGGCATCATGATTTTGAGATTATTTAACATAGAACTTTGATGTATCTGCACTTATATCTGTTGTGTTGCATTAAAATTTTAGCATCGGTGATTCGCGTTATGCGTAAGTTATTTTTTTTTTGTATGGATGTACAGATTGTATAGTGTATCCGTATCATACACTAATTTAGATACACTATTAGATTGATATATATTTGCAATAATCTTGTTATTTATATTTTATAGACGTACACAATATGTCTGTAATTTTGCTAAACAAAAATTCTAAACAATTAACGAATTTAAATATCAGTTTTTATTCATATTAGGCTTTTACATAATCCCTTCCCTCTCGGCACACGCAATAAAACATACAATTATGAATTGGAAGCTATTATATGGTATTTCTTTTCCAGAATCGCCTTCATTTGCATCTTATTACATATCTTGAATTACTGGTACATTGTAAAAAAATTATTTTAAGTGCAATTTTATCTTGGAAAATATAAAAAAGTGTCGGGGTTAAATCAAGTAAATACGGATGGGTAGATTACTATCTGTCAGTTGGCCAAAAACTGTGAAACAGTCCTGACTGTGTGTGCAGGCACATTGGCGTGCAAATTTGTACCTATAGGTCAAATCGTAAATTCAACGTTATAATGCGTCAGCTAAATGCGATTCTGTAAGAGGAATATTATAATAGTTTCCAATCATTGTACCATTCTATTGCGCGTATCGAAAAGGGAAAGATGTAGAAGCCTGATAAATAATAATTGATATGAATGATATCTGAATTTGTTGATTTTTTAAAGAATTTTTGTCTGAAAACTTTTTAAATATACTGTGTAAATATAATTCACAGAGCAATCTACTTTTTATATCTGTTTTTTATATTTCTATAGGTGGAATTGTGCGTCAAGATCTTATCTGACATTCTGGAACTGACTTTTAGAAAAGATATAGGTAGCACAGTTTCAGATGTCAAGGAGATAATGTTAACAGCCTTACGTACCATTATACAGACGGTTATATCAATGGACAGAGAAAATCCTTTAGTTGGAAATTTAGTTTCAGTAATGTTGGCGATTTTTAGGTATATTTAAGATTCTAAAAATATAAAACAAAAATGTAAAAATTGTGGAAAGAACAGGGACTGAAATATCTTTTTGTTTTCCTTCTTAATCTCTTTTCAGACAAATGACACAACTCCACTATGAAGTGTATATCAATCATTTTGGAACTAAAATTGATTTACTTGACTTTCTTATGGAGATACTGCTTGTCTTTAAAGATCTGGTTTCTAGAAGTGTATTTCCCGGAGATTGGTGTGAGATGATTATGCTCCAAAATAACATTATTTTGAATTCTTTACGGTACTTCTCGGCCACAATTAGAGATTATTTTTTTACTGAATTTGAGCAACAAGCATGGTCAAATTTCTTCCATTGTGCTATTGCATTTTTAACACAACCTGCCTTACAATTGGAGACATTTACATCAGCGAAACGAAATCGTATTATTAAGCGCTACAAAGATATGCGCAGGTATGTCTTTTACGTAATATAATAATTACGCAGAATGTTTTAAGGCTATCACAATAAAACTAAAGACTCAAATAAAAAGAACGCTTTTGACATTAAAACAAATTCTTAGTCCATACATTTTTTTATTTTTAATGTATATTTAATTATATTTATTAAATATTATATTGTTAAATAAAATAAAACGAATATTTTCTCTTTTGCTACGTTACAGAGCAACTGTGTTCGAAATTAGATCTATGTGGTTCAACTTGGGTCAACACAAAATATTGTTTGTACCCGCTTTAGTTGGTGCCATCCTTGAAATGGCATTAATACCTGATACTGAATTAAGAAAAGCTACTATACCTATTTTTTTCGACATGATGCAATGCGAGTACTATAGTTCACGTATAGTGGAAGGATATGGAGATACTAAGCGCGATCCTGCTCATATCAAAGCTAATTTTACAGAATATGAAAACGAAATGATTGCAAAACTGGATATTCTAGTATAGTATTTTGTATACAAATAATTTTATATATAAATACTGAAACAAAACAATCTTAATTGAAATTTACTTTGATAATTACATTAGTGAAAAGTCACTTCATGAAAGTTTGATTTTTACAGGTCGAAGGAGGCAGAGGCGACGAACATTTTCGTATACTGTGGACTGATGTTATGGGTTCTTTATGTGAAAAACATTCTACAATGCGAGAGCAAGGCTTACGTTTCGTAGATACTATATCTAGACTCATGGAGCGCTTATTGCAATATCGCGATATTATTCACGCCGAATCCCAAGAACATCGTATGCTTTGTACTGTGAATTTATTGGAATTCTATTCTGAGATTAATAGAAAGGAAATGTATATTAGGTAAATGCAAAAAAATCTATTATATTTTTATAAATCAAATGTGTTTTAATTGTCTTTTAATTTAGATCTGATTAAATGTGATTGGTTTAGATTTTTTAATATTCTAAATATTTCATAAATAAACAGGTTTAATGTAATAAATATATGTATATTAAAACATATTAAATAATTTTTTTTATATATTTTATAGATACGTGAACAAGCTGTGTGAATTACATCTAGAATGCGATAACTATACAGAAGCTGCTTATTCTTTAAAACTCCACAGCCAATTATTAGCATGGAGTGATCAGCCCTTATCACCTTTGTTAATATCACACAGGTAACATTACCAACCAATATTAAATAGTTTATATAAGCTTGTTTAGAGATGATTAATATTAAAAAATTCAATTTTTCTAGATATCCTTTATGTCAAACGCATCGTGAATTGAAAGAAGCGTTATACAATGATATCATCGATTATTTTGATAAAGGAAGAATGTGGGAATGCGCTCTTGCCGTTTGCAAGGAACTAGTTTCACAATATGAAGAGGAAACATTTGATTATTTGCAATTGTCCGTCCTACTAATACGCATGGCAAAGTTTTATGATTGTATAGTAAAACAGTTAAGACCTGAACCAGAATACTTCAGAGTCGCATATTATGGCAAAGGACATCCTGCTTTTCTTCAAAATAAAGTACTTTCACATATCTTTTCACATATCGTATTTAACATATCTTTAATTATTGTTTATTTTTGTTCTTTGTTCAATGAAATAATATATTTACGATATAGGTATTTGTTTATCGAGGAAAGGAATATGAACGACTTAGTGATTTTTGTACAAGAACACTAAATCAGCTACCGAATGCAGAACAAATGAATAAATTGTCCCCTCCCACCACAGAAATGTTAGAATCATATCAACAGTATGTACAAATTAATAAGGTAGAACCACTGATGGATGAAAAAAGGCATCGTTTAAGTGGTAAACCAGTTACTGCAGAAGCAGTTTTAAGGTACATATTTAACATTATAGTTTATGTAAAATTTCATCAATTTTCTATTGTTTTTTTATGATTATCATTGTTTTTATATATTTTAGATATCATCGTGTGAATGATGTGCAGCGTTTTAGATTTTCAAGACCTGCTCCGAGAAAAGAAATCATTGCGGTAAATAGCGAAAAAGAAAAGGAAGTAAATACTAGTACTAACAATAGCAATGAATTTGCTTCGTTATGGTTGGAACGGACAGTACTTGTTATAAGTTACCCGTTACCGGGAATTCTTCGATGGTTTCCTGTGACATCTAGCGAGACATATTTAGTCAGCCCTTTGAGAAACGCAATTGAAACTATGGAAGCTACGAATACGGCACTGAGGGATCTCATTATTGCTAACAAGTTTGTATAATATTTATACATATATATTAATTTATTCTCGATGTAATTTATAATCTCATATTGCAACTTTTTAACTTTTAATTTTTTAACTAATTTTGTAAAAACCAAGGCTTATATGGATCGAACTTTGAGAATGAATCTAAAATCTGTCTACATGTTGACCATTTCTACATAAAATTATACACATTATTCCATATTTTTTAATAATTTATAATGAATGTTACAAAGTGTTAAAATGAAATTAATTTACTTGTTTATTATATTTGTTCATTATTTTACAATATAAATTTTTGTGAAACTACTATTTGTTTTATACAGGAGTGATCCTAGTCTTCCATTAAATCCTTTGAGCATGAAATTGAATGGCATATTGGATCCAGCTGTTATGGGCGGTATCGATAACTATGAAAAAGCTTTTCTCAACGCAGAGTACAAAGATAGTCATCCGGATGAAAGTTCAGATCTTCTCAAGTTAGAAGGGCTTATTGCAGAACAAATCCCTCTACTCAGTGTAGGTCTGCAATTACATAAAACACGAGCACCTACCGAGTTGGCACCGTTTCATCAACGTTTAGAGCAATGTTTCATGTCTATGCGTAATCAAGTAGAAGCTAAATATGGAAAAAGGGTAAGTTTTTAGTTATTCAAATCAATATCTATCAAAATAATAATCAATACTCGCATTAAATTTATAATTATATAATTTATTCTATAACACAGACCTGCGATTTACAAATTGAAAGCCTAACGCAAACCGTAACAATGCGAAGACCACCAATTTCGAGAGGAGATAATCACTGCCTGTCCGAGTCAAATATGAATAATTCAGAGTAAGCTTTTCCGTCCATTCTTGCACGACATGTTTACTATCTTATTAATAAGTTTATATATATATATATATATAT